CCACCGTTTACAAAACTCTCTTTTTGCTTTGATGAGGAATGAGAACCAGACTTGCCAATCCCCACTTTTTCACGGGGAAATCTCCCATCACCGTTTCCTGCCAATCTCAATTTTTGCCTTATTAACACACGTGTGTTTGGAGGATACTCTCTGTCTCACCAGCAGTGGAAATTTAGGAAGGAATTGTGGAGCAAGAGACAAAATGTGCAACACTGAGAAGATCTGGATAAGGAGAAAATTTAGGCCATTAATGTTAATACAAATGTGTTTCTATAGCATTGGTGATGATTTCTGCAGAGCAGAGAGTATTTCAAAAAAATGAAATTATCCCGAAAAGAACAAAAAACGAAAAAAAGCAAAAAGAAAAAAATGAGACAWAACWAATAGATTTGTAAAAGAAAGGGACCTTTAAAATACAATGATGGGGCAGGCTACAGCGAGTTTAAATATCAGCCTGCAATAAACTCGGTGTAACCTGATCCCCGAGCACAGCCCAGCTCTTAGGGAGGTTTCAGCTACACTTTCCAGGCATATCTCTTCGACCTTGTCTCTGTCACATAAACGAACTGAAATGAACATATGTTTTTAAGTTTGTTTCTAAAATAACCAGACCGGAGCAGAAATACTGCGCTGCCTACACCAAGTCTCCCCCCACCTTCCCCAGGGGAGAGAGCAGAGAAAAACCATGCGCGTTAGTCACATCTCAGATGAAGTGCGACGGTGACGGGGATTTATACAAAACAGAGACACCAAAAAAAGCCTGTCAGGTCCCAGCTGCGGGTGAGCAACGAGGTGTGAGCCCAGGAGGTGAGGTTGTACCAAGGGCTGCTCACCTCCAGCCTTGCTGGGCTCCCCAAAGTGCACATCAGCCCTGCGAGCGCGCAGGAAATCATTGCAGGGATGTGTTGGCTTTCTGCAGCACTCAGGGGTGCCCTGGAAATGGGTTGGAAATGGGTTGGGAATGGGGAGAAAGGCATTGCTGCCTCTGCTGCCCTTCCACTGACAGAGGTTGACCACACCCCAGGGACTCCAGGCAAAAAAGAGATGATCTCGTCCTTCAGAGGATGCTACAACAGCCCAATATGTGCCCTGGCAGGGTCAAGGATCCTGGAGGTTGAATCACAGTAACAACTGAAAAGGAATTACCCCTGGTGTGAGCAAAGGCTGGTGGATGAAGGGATGGGGAGCAGCCCTGATGAGGATTTGGGGGTACTGGGGGATGAAAAGATGGACATGACCCAGCCCAGACAGCCAAGAGTATCCTGAGCTCCATCAAAAGATCCGGATTTCTCACTTTTCTGCAAAYGCATCCCAACCTATGGATGCAAATGGTGACTGCATCCATATCCACCCCTTTCCTTCCTATCCTCAWCACCAAACCCTGCCGATCCTTTCCTGCCATGGGCTGCTTGCTCCTTGAAATGGAGCCTCAATGCCCTCCGTGGGCAAAAAAAAGACCTTTTACACCCATGTCTATGACAAGGAGAACTATATACCTGACATGGAAGCTTGGTTTTTCATGAAATTMAAGAATTCAGACGTGTGGATTTTCTAATAATCAGTATTACATTCACAAAAGGTCTCAGTTCCCACTTTGGAGACTTAAGACTTTCTWAAAACCTTTATCTGCAAGATCCATCATCAAATTGGTAGGAGAACCCAAACCATCCTGGCTAAAATGTCACCTAATGAGGTTTCAATTRAGGTTTAAAATACTTCTGTAAATGAAGGAAGACAGAAAAAATTAATTTCTGCTTTGAAGCATTTTATTCACTGTCTGCCCACAACTAGTTGAATTGTTGTCACACCATTGGCTCAGCATCAACAGAGAATATATAACTATTTACTTTTTAAATTATTAAAAATGTCAGGATCTAGCACTTCAAAGGCACTTTAACTACGATGGAAAAAATTTACTTCATAAAAATCTTAGAAAGCTCAAGTTGGCAATGTCTCTTTAATTGGCTTTAAAACATTTAATAAAAGTTTTATGATACAATCCTACCCTACAGCCACCATTAATCCCATATGGCTGTGAGAGATACCAAGCAGCCTACGAAAGCTGCAAGAGAACATTCTGTTTCGTTTCCCATCTATTAGTGTTTACTAAACCAATTACAGGAGATTTAACAAATCATCTCAGAAAAAGAAGTTGCTGCAAGCTCCCCTTTCTTGTTAAGACAGGTAGCCCCATGACTTATTCTGGGTTCTAGCCCCAGCTCTGTCCCAACAGTTTTTCCAGGCTTATGCAAAGGAGGAATTGTTCTCTTTCTATTTCCTAATCCCAAACTGGATCAGCAATATTTGATTTACAGAGATGCTGCTACACAATGCCTTTGAAAGGGGAGGTTAACATCACGCTGCCTCATTGCCCAAGGTGACAGCAGGCATGGAAAAGTGGTGGGGTAGAAGGAGGGGACTTTGATAAAAGATAGATAAATGGGCATGAGCTTGAATTAACCTGACAGTGAAGTTTCAAAGGCAAGGTAGTATGGAAGACAAGAGATAGGCTTGTCAGAATATGATGAGTGTGTTTCACAACACATCAGGTGATTTCTCAATCTGCCAATGCACGTGTGAACATCAAAAATTCAGTGGCAATTTCGGAAAAGAAGAGCAGGAGATTTAAATTTTTTTTTTTGTCTGCAAAGCGGACAAAAGAAGTGGCCACTGCAAACTGAGCACCTACTGAGAGGAAAAACCCACTCTGTGGTGTGCAGGAAGCACTTTGGTAGGAAATGAGAAAGAGCATTGCCCATGAGCAGGTGGCACCAGCAAAAACCATGACACCCTCTGGTTTTGGAGCACCCACAGGAAATACCTGCAAGCAAAAAAACCAGCAGGAGGTCAGACTTTACCTGTGGAGCTCCCTTTATAAACTCCTGGTTCCCTCCCCCTGAAATTGGCTCCTGCCCAAGTGAGATGTACTTCAAAGGAAGAGCATCCCCAGTAGGGATTTGAAGCTGGAAACGCTGTGACCAAAGGGGATTGGCCACTTGGGGACCCTCATTGGCTCCCAAATGTTGCTTTAACCCTTYTGAACAGTAAAAGATCCCAAAGAAAAGAACCTGCAGGTCCCTGGTATTTTATCTTGCAGCCATCTGCCGTGCTATGTGCAAATGACGTGTGCTTTTTGTGCCGCCCCAGCTGCGAGAAGGTGCCGGTGCAGCCCTGTCACCTTCAGTTCCCCGTGTCTGCTGGAGGCAAGGAAAGCAACAACCTCCCAAGGAGGTTACCAGAGCAGGTAACATGGAAAGCAGCTGTTTATCCAGGGTGAGGAAGTGAAATGATCATTCATCAGGGCTGTTGTGCAGCCCCGAGATGGACCTGGGGGAGCTGGGTGAGGTTACGGGCCAGAAAAATGCAGGAGGGAACTGAGGTGAAGCCCCGACTGAGCTCTGCATTAAAAAGAGAAATTTCACATTTTTGGAACATGCTAAGATCTGGTGATGAGTCTAACTCTGTCCCAAGAGCCTGATTCGAAGGCAGGGACCCTCAGCGAGTTCTCCTCCTGGAAGAAGGAGTTACAAAACCACCAAACCTCAGACTCTCAAAACASCTTGGCTGCATGATCCAGGCAGCATCTTCCACAGCAGCTATCCCTGATTTGGGAGAAGAAGGGGGGTCACAAATCTCTTTTCCAGAGAGGGTGTTCCCCACCAGCACCAGGGGATGGCGAGCTGGAAACCATCAGGACAGGGCTTAGATTTGCAGGATGCCAGAGGAAAGGGCTTTCTCTCAGACAGGATCGGATAGCAGGCCAGACTAGCTGAGGTGAGGCATGAGGACACTCACWGGGGCCGAAGGTTAATGCCTGCCCACATGACAAGGGTCAGTATCCCAGGAATCCAGGGGCTGCCTGCAGCTCCAGACCTTTGGCCGGGGATCTGAGATGAGAGGCAGCGCTCACAGCTCCCAGGGTGGCCGTGTGCCAGGGCAGGGGCACAAACTGAGACACCTGAGCTGGAAGAAAGTGATCAGTCAGTAAACAGAGAGTCAGGGAGGGAAATAAACTGGGTTCTCTGCTGCAAGCCCCACTAAGGCCAAGCTCGAGCATGAAGACAGTGCCCAGAACACAGCGGGTTCATGAGACAGTGCCTGTGTAAATGGCATTAGTGAAGGAGTAGAGGATTGACTTTCCAAAGGATTAGGAGGATTGTGTTTTCAAATTGGGCATCTCTTCCCTGTTCCCAGCAATTTCTGATCCTCCAAAGGAGATCCTCATCCTCCACAGGGATTTTCAGCCCATGAGTAACAAACACTCCCTGGATGTTAACAGAGCAACTCAACGCCTGAAGTGGGCACCAAAATATAAAAGGTTTTGACAAGATTTTAGGGGTTGTTCTGCTAGTGCCAGCCCCTCTCCTGCTGTGCTTCAGGAAACCTGGTGGTGCTGTACCAACAGCCTGCCTAATCTGGCTCTCCTGTTCTGGGATTTYGCTTCCTCCACTCTCTGTGTGGATGCTGCAGCATCACCACAGCCCCACTCAGCGACTACAACCCAGAGCAGAGGGGTGATGATGTGCACAGCCCCCCACCCTGGAGGAGCACCCCACGGCATCAGACAGCAGGGAATTTCCTGTAGAATTCCAGGGAATTCCTCACCCAGGAACWCTGCACCTGTCCYGRGATGGCATGGGGACAGRGATGGCCCTGGGGGAAGCCCTGGTGCCTCAGCACAGCACAAGCACATCTCCACAGCCGTGGGAGTGTAATCTGGAGCAGCTGCTGGCATTCCTCCTGTACCCCAGGAGCGATCAAAGGCTTGCAGTGGCTGCACTATCCCAGCATTACTAGGAGCGATGGAAAGGCATCAAGGATATGTAGGAATTTCCCTTTTATCGCAGCTGTAGCCACAGAGCATTTATAGGAAGCAGAAGGGATGAGTGACCCAGCCATCAAGCATTTTCCRAAATCTCTCCATAGCCACAAGTGGTAGGCACATTTTCCCCCTGTCCTCATGCTCTCTTTAGGGATCCAGCAGAAGTGCTRYRCTGGTGCTGGAAAAGTGGGGCCAGRCAGGGCCTTGGGAGGTCAAACACTGCTTTGCAGGATTTGCAGTGAAGAGTTTCACTAAAAAYGTGCATATATCATACTCCCATCACTGCCACTGCTATAAGTCTTGAAAGCAATCTTTGGTCTTTCAAAGAAGAATTTACCAAGCACCAGTCCTTAGCAGACACAGAAGTTATTGAAATAAAAAGAGAGCACGTCGCTYAAGTGTTTCATTGTTTGCCAAGTGGTTTACACGCACCAGTGGGAGCCAGGGAAAAAAAGGTGTTTGCATAAAAACAGCAAGGAATGCCTATTATATCACATTTCCCAGCAAAGCCCAGGCTGTTATCCTGGCAGTGACCAGCCTCATTGTGCAACAAACATCACCAAAGGGAAAAGATCACAAACGCTTCCATATGAGGAATCCCTTGGTCACTGGATGAAGGAATCTCACAGATGTCCCACTCATTTCATCAGGCATCCTCAAGAAGCATATTGGGATATTTATGTGATGATTATTGTGATAATCTGTGAATACAGAACAAAAAGATGCTACAAAATCAATCTTTTTTTTTTTTTTTCCCCAGAGAAGTGTTCTCCAGTTCACCTTATACCACTTGTGGCAGAAGCAACAAGAACTAAAAAAGTGACCTCMCTTCACAGCCCTCTACCAAACACCACACAGACCTCATTTCTTGGAGTTTAAAAGTGAAATTAGAAGTTTTCCTAGAGATGTGTTAGTTCATCAKAGGTAATGGCAAAATAGAAAATAAATATTAGTCTTGACACATGCTACCAAAATCTCTGAGCTGAATAGATATTCCACATGCAGGACGGACACATGCTATTTTATGTGAGGTATTAAAGGACCAGGCTGAAAATATGCAGACTTTAAGACCTTGTTTTAAGAAATTTTAACTAAAAACACATGCAGAGTACGCATTCTAGCAGATAATTACACAGAGTGGAGCACGACTCATAGAGAAAATAGGAACTGTAGCAACATGAGCTTTTTATCTAACAAATACAAGTATTATGAAAGAAGTACTTTCAATTTTCCTTTTTTAAAAAAGCTCATTTTTAGGCACTACAGGTCACCCACCTCTAGAATCTCACAAATCTAATCTACAATGTGTAAACACACCCAGACCAAGAAGATTTAGGAGAATACTATTTTTAACATATTCACTTGTCCAAAGCAAGTTTGGGGGAAGGAATAAAAAAAAAAAAAAAAAAAGGGCAATCTGTGAATATCCAAGAAAACATGAAACCTAAATGATGACAAGGCCAGTCGTTCTCAATCAATGACTCCTTCTCCTTCCTTCCAAGAACTGGGGAGTCTATATTTAAAAGCCTCGCACATTTTCTCCTGTTCCCAGGGTACTCAGCAATTTGAGATAAAACGAGTAAAAGGGTGACCTCTTTACTTTAAAAGAWCCCTGACGAGTTTTGCCCAGGTAAGGAGGCCGTTAAGTACTTTCTTTACCTGAGATTTCTGCAAGTTTTTAACAGCAAGAGTCCTTAGATGTCTGACCCACTTTCCCTGCAAAAACTTAGATCTAATTTTTCTTTTTATTTTTTTTTTCAATCTACTTTATTTGTGTGGGGATTCAGGGGGTGGGGAACAGAACACATGTAAGATGCTGTTTTTGAAATCCCTGCTCTTTACTTAGGTCTGAGATGACTAATGCAATTCTAAAACGCTGCACCATCAAGACGTGAATCACAAACCTACCTCAGCTGCTTCTGAAGGTGTTTTTGTGTGATTTAAGAGCTTCGCTAGAGAAGGCAAACTTTTGTTGATAGGATGGCAGCACTCATTACTTGCTAGTCAGGCCAGGCTGAAACTTCATTGTTTTTGTTTCCTAGAGAAAGAACTGAGATCACATCTGCATTTTATAAAAGCTCCTGAGCTGTTACTGATGGACAACAACTGGCAGCACACGCTCTGCCTCTAGAAACTCGCMTTGTTTTGCAGTCAGGGTTGCTAGATACCCTGTCCTCGTAAAAAGTCTGGTTAAGTCATTTAAGCTCTGAAATTGAGTGCTGCGCTTCCCTGAACAGCTCAGAGAAATTGTTACTAACAAGAATTACATGTGACAGGCTCCAGGCTCCATTATTCGGCTTCCTTTGTTCTCTAAAGGATTTTCATTATCAACTGAAGACCCGCTAACATTTCTAGCTTCTACGAAATAAGTTCTTTTTTTAGTTGGCAACTCRGATGTAAAGAGGGGGAGGGGAATGYATTTCCCTATCTGTTTTCTGGGATTTAATATRAAATCTGCAAAGGCACTATAACAGCAGGGTTGGGAGCTTGAGCAGATACGGGACTTAAGAATTCTGACATGTAAAAGGTGTTCGTGATATTTGCTGTCACTTAAGGTGTAGGGGAAGGAGTTGCAAACCCCTCAGCCCCTCTCCAGTTCCTGMCAAGCACATTGGCCAGTTTTGTGAGGACCAGACCAGCAGTGAAGCTGGAARTGAGGTGCCTYTTGCCTGTTACCCTGATTAGTGCCYGTGGCAGGGCAGGGGTGCAGGGGTGGCTGGCTTGCCCGGTGGGTGATGAAGCACTTCACCTGCCTGTTCCTAGAAGCACAAGTCCTTCTCCTGCCCAAACTGCCSGTCCTGTGAACCGTGCTGAGCCCATCAATCCTTCTCTCACAGTTGTCGTTGCAGGCTATCAGGTATCGGGCTCGTGTGCTCCTGCCAGCGAGGCTCCTGCACTTGCTCCTGTCCCTGGGCATCATGCACAGCTCGGGGCACGCGTTATTCTGCTGCCACAGCACATGAGCAAACTGTCTGTGCTCTGAGCCCAGAGCAGATGAGCAAACTGTGCCTTAAAACTCCCCGCTGATGATGGACTGGGAGGAATCGTGGAAGAGCAGGACTTGGAGCACAGGAGCKAAGGGATGGCAATCAGCCACTGGGCAGCAGAGCCTCTTCAGGGAGTGCGAGTGTGGGGCTGGAAATAAGGAAGTCTCTGAAAGTCCTCTGCCACATCACACTCTTCTCCACTCACCCCATTTCCATCTCTCTTCACGCGTTTGCCCCTCTATTGTCAGAAATACAATAAAACCATGGCTGTAGCTCAGACATGCAGCTGGCATGTTTATCCTACAAACACAGCGTGTGCTTAAGCATGGCTGGTGTGRGGAGAGGAGAGAGGAGCTTCTCCTGCAGCAGGACAGTGGTACATGGGTACATCAGGGAGGCGTGGAGGTGGCCCCAGGTAAATACCTGCAGATACCCAGAGCTTGCAGTGAGGTGCAGACAGAGTCTAGCAGGATGATCCAGCCCTCACTAAATGCAGCTGGGCTCCAGTTCACCTCATCTTCCCCTCSTTGAGATGGAGCCCTGTCACCTGACAGGCAGCTCTTTGCTCTGTACTGTGCAGCTAAAGCTGAGGCTGTCAGGAAAGTCTCAGTCACACTCAGCGTGTCCACCTCCCAAGGATCATTTTACACACAGCACAGCACCCTACCTTTGTCCTGCAGGAYATCCAAATCATCTAGAAATTTTGGGGTTGGGATCAAGTTGGTTTGCACTTAGGTCCTGAACTTCTTGGAATGTTCCTAAAGATGAATGAGGCAACTTTTCCTTCTTCAGGGGAGACCCTTGCAGGTATCTAACCAGACACTAAAAGGGTCTTATGGTAGGGTATTCTCCAGGTAGATTCTCTGGTAAGAACTAATCCAAATGCAAACTGGTGTACACCTTGTTGATGAACCTCACCGCCGAGAGCCTCACCTTGCTGATTTCAAGAACCCCACAGAGATAACTTATCACAACGGATCCATTAACCCCTCTTGGAATTGCATAACCTGATGAACTTTTACCATGAACAGAAGGCCAAGTAGGGCATTAGAGGAAAAAAAATAATCTGCCAGGCAAAGACCATTGTTGTGGCTGAGAAACCTCTGTTCTCTGAGGGCTTAATTTCACATTGGTCTAGGAAGACATAAATGACCATGCTCTTCATATCAGTTGGGGAGAGCAGATTCAGGACACAAAGCAGGTGGATCAGGACAGAGGACATCTCTGCAGAGTGGYGTAAAGGTATGGTGTAAAGGCAAGTGTTTTATGAGGACCTGAAAAGACAGTAAGAGCCACGTATTGAATTCCATAAAGGACATGGTCTCCTTGTGGGGTATCCGTATTAGGAAATACACATATTTTTTCCACAGCGGAGCAGAAACAGACAGTGAGGAACTTGAGCCCATTCGCTGTAATTTGGGACTCACGCTGGGGCAGAGAAACTACTCACCAGCCTGGGATTTCCTTCCTTCCTTCCCTCCTTGCCTCTGCAGCAGTGGGTTTCAACCCCTGGAAAAAAGAGGTGGAAAGGAGAGGTGGAAAGGAAAGGTGGAAGGGAGAGGTGGAAACTGCCCTCGCGTTTACCCCCCGAGGGAAAACTTCCAAGCTCCGGGAAAGGCTGCCTGGCCGGTGGTCAGAGCCCCCCGAGCCGCTCAAGCTC